TTAAAAGATTAATTCAATATTTTATAATTATTACAATAAAATTAGCAGTTGTAAATCGAATAGGTGCAATACAATAATAAAAATTAATAATTAATATTTTAGAATTAAGAATTGTAAAGTTAAATAAAAGAATTGAATGAAAGTCTTAATATTATAAAATTGAAAGTTTAAGGTTTAGAAGAGGAAATAAATAACCTTAAAAAAATAAATCAAGAAACTCAATTGTTTTTGGAACTTTTAGAATTAGAAAATAGTAGTTTAAATTAATAATTGTAGAAATACATCGAATCTGGAAAAAATTATATATATTTAAATTAAATATATAACATCATCTAAAAGGAGAATGAATAAGTTAACAAGATTAAAATGTAACCATTAAACTAATAAATATTATTGATGGAAGACGTTTTAAGGTTGAAATTAGATGAGAATGGGGCATATTAAAATCAAATAATGAATTTAAAATAATAAAATTAAAAATTAATAGAAAAAATCAATGAATTATATCAAGAAAAGTAATAAGTATAGAGGGAATTTGAAAGAATCAACTAACAATATCAATATTTAATGAGTAAAGATAACATTAATTAAAATTAATTTAATAAGTTAAATATATAAAATGGGAATAGCAAAGATATATTTACAAGAAGAATGTGATTAAATAAAATGGAAATGATTAAAAAAATTTTTTTAATTATTTAATATGTTTTTTTTATAAATTAGCGAATATCTTAATTATTACACCCTAGTTTTTAATTTTTAATATTAATAATAAAAATAGTAAATTTTTATTTATGAGTTTGTCATTTTTAGAAGAAATATTATTGTATGAGACAAATTTTAACACTTGTATCCGAAATGTACGAAATAAAATCATTAAATTTTTGGTAAAGAATAAGCCTTGTATGTTTGAAAGTTAATTATACTTTCTAAGTAACAATAAACTATAATTAACAAGCAATTTTTGTCTGAAATTATTAATTTATTTAAATTATATTAATAATTAATTGTAAATTCTAAGAAAAATTCAAATATTTGATTACTTGAATCACTTCATTAATTTAAAAGATTTTGTATTTTTATATGATTAGTAAATTCCATAAAAATTAAAATGACTATTTATTGTTCTAATCCAATTTAATTAAAATCTTCAAAGCATATCTATAAAACCATCAATAAAATCATCAGTATTTTTAATCTTATAAAATTATAAAAATCTGGCTTTTAATATACAAACCTAGGAAAATAATACATTAATAATAATTTATCATACAGAGAGCTGAATATGGCATTATTACCATTAGTTTTTCTATGCTAATATAATATTAATATTACATATGGTTAAATGGATCATATTTAAAATCAATCTAATAACTTAGATCTAATCAATTTTAGATTAAATAATAAATAAAAATAAATGAAACAGAATTCTGATATTTCAACCAAATAGAGATACACAGAATAGTCAACAATGTCAAAACAAAATAACTTGATCAACTAAAAATGAGACTTAGATACATCAAAATCCATAACCAGTTAAATTAATTTATTAGAAATAAACTGTGCTTTAAAATATGATGACGGTGAGCTAAAGAACATTGAAGTAACGTGAAACAAAAAATAAAACCAAAAATTGGAGTTGATGTAATAAGTAAGCATTGCCAGTCACATTTTTCAGTTACATGCTAAGCTGTAAAGAAAAAAAAACTAGAAGAATTATTAGTTAAGACTAAGAACAATTTTAAGCTCATTATAGTTTATAACCATTTTTATTTTTAGAGAAGTTAAACTAACTA